AAGCTCATGAATGCCAAAATATCACTGAAACAAACCTGATAAATCCCAAGAACTTTAGCAAGGCAAGTTCCCTTTCCAGACCCAAATGATTGATGCATGTACTTGAAATAATGCGGAGCAAACATTTGAAATGAATCATACTCTGTCTTCTTAATTTCCTTTATGATAAACCTGTCATCAAGTGTTTTAGCAAAAAAAGACTTGCTCTTTCCTCCTTTGGCATCCCATTTTTTACAGCGGCTAAGGGAAGCAATGTAATCGAGCTCTGAAGGGCAGCAAAGGTTCCGTAGATCACGGAACTGATTGGCATATAGACATATTATTGAGTATTTACCCTTTCCAAGTGATTTTGTAGGCCCAAGAGAAACTTCCTGATTAAATGCTTCTGGAGGAACCAGAGAATCCAACAAGTTTAATCCATCAAAACTGGAGAAGCGTGACTCTTCCAAAGAAGAGCTTTGTGTAGAGTGAACTGAATCTGAATCTGAGGAATGACTTAAAGGCCAATGTGTTGCAGTTATGGTCGGAATGCGAATTAGGCCATGTGCACTTTCAGTTGTTTTTTCTTTCCCACTATCCTCATTCGACACATCTTTTAGCAAGGATAGTGCACAAGCAATTATACTTGAGAGTTCACCATCAAAATCTGACACAATAGAATCATCTCCCATGGGGATATGAAGCCTTGAACCTTCCTCATCGATCAGCTGATAGCATGTTGGTATGTGCTCTTGATAGTTACCGAAGCATTCAAACTTTGGTACAAAACCTCTCTGAAGATCCTTCATATATATCTTCCTGATTTCAGAAAATGGCATCCAGAACCAACCATTTGAATTTTCCAAGCTAGATAACAGTGAGCATGGGGACCCATCACTTTTAGATTCATTTGAATCAACGTCAGAATCCACTCCCAAATAATTTGATAAAGGCTGATTCTCTGCTTGAGAATTATTATCATCTGAATGTTGAAGCAAAACAACATTCTCTTTTGGCTTCTTAATATCATCAACCACAGTTGAAGGATCATGTATACCATTTCCAACAGAAGATGTAACTAAATTGCATTTCACATTACCAATATCATTTGAAACTTCATTTACAGAGCTAGTTGAAGTCATCAAATTTCCTACAGCAGCAGGGCTTTCCATCTCTGGCTTCTCCTGCACTGTTTTCTTAGTGGACC